TTTTTTGGTATAGGGACCTTCCGGTTTCCGCATCCACAGGAGAACCTATTAATCCAGAATCGAGTCGGGTCACTAAGGGCTCGAACTTTCTGTATTTTTTATCTTCACTTTCATTCTCTTTTATTTTTCCCGTTGTTTGACTGTTTTTCTTATAAACTTTTTAATTTTTATCATTTTACGGGAATAAATAGCAAAATATAAATTAGAAGTGAGAAGTAGAATATTGCCTATTGGGGGATTGGGATGATCCCACTGATAACGTTTAATTTGAGTCCATTTAATGAAATTAATTATTTTGAACACAATTTTTGTTTCAATTCATTTTTCCTGCCACTTCTATTAGTTTTTACTTTTGGAATTGAATTATAGTTGGTACTTTAGTCAGTTAAGATTTTTTATTTTTTTTTTCCATAGTTTTTGTCTAAAATTGAATTATGAAGTTCCCTTTGATTTTCTTTCTTGTGGACAATATTGGAGCCATCACTCATAATTTTCAAGCATATTTTTTAATAAAAATACTTTTTTTTTTTTTTTTTGTTATGAGATTTTAGATTTTTACGTATATAAAATATAGTTATTTAAAGTACTTGAAAGATAATATATTTCCTAGTATAATTTATTAATTTATTTGTTATATAAGCTGTATGCAGTCCTATCGTTTCAAAGGATGGCAGCAATGGGCCTTTTAGATATCCCAACGGATGATGGGCCTGCGAACTATCTAACACATTGTATACTGAATTACTAGGATAGGCCGACTTCAAAACAATAATGTCCTTATTTTTTTTAAAATAATAATGCAACTATGTTATTTTTAATTTTTTTATTCTATTATTAAGACTGTTGTTCTTTTTTTTTTTTTTTTTTTGGGTACTGATGTTACTTTTTTGACTTTTTTTGTAACAAAATTATTTTGAGAAACTTAACCACTACACCATATATTTTACTTTTTATTACACAATTAAACATTTATTATAAATATTAGCAATTCTACCTAAATTCATATTTTTATTTATAGAATTACCAGAAAATATCTATATTAGTTAAGGGTTAATTCAATCATTAAATACATATTTTTAAGGAAACATATCAATTTTTCTCCCTCAAATCACGGTTTTATCTCTGAATTATCTCTCTTCTTCTTCTCCCTCCCATTTCTTCTCTTTTTTTCGTTATCTCTCTCTCTCTCTCTCTCTCTCTCTCTTTCACACACCATAATATGGCAAAAAATAATAGCTGGAGAATGCACGCGGACAATGAGAAGAGACGACTAACAGTCGCGGTCGCCAGTAATGGTGGATTAAGGCGACGTCGATGAACCTCCACCAGAAAAAAAAAAGCGAATAAAGCAGAAGACAAGTGAAATTGCAAAAAGACACCAAACAATATTCAGATTTTGTTTAAGACGAAAAAATCGAGATGGACGAATAGAGTCTTGACGAAAACTTCAATCAAAGTGAGAGATGGAGTTTAAAAATCCTGGTCGGCGGCCGCTGGTGAGTGGTGATGGAGCTTTCAAGGCGCAAATGAGGTGGATTTCTGCAGTTGTTTTTTGAAGAGACGACAATGGACTCCGACGACAACATGTGTGGATGACCGGATATAGAGATTGGAGTGTGCAGAAGAAAAGGATTGATTTCTAAAATTTGAATTTTGTGGTCTAATGTGTTTTTTGTATATCTTCTGTATATATTATATATATAATGATAAAATTGATTTATCTTCTATATATATTTGTTGTGTATTTTTGTTATGTCGTATGCATGTAATGAATATATCTTCTGCATACAATATCCCTGATTGTGTATTTGTATGTATTTAAAAGATGGTGTTATTTGAAATTCAAATTCCTTATCTTTTTATTCATATTAAAACATATTCCTTATGTGTGTGTGTGTGAATGACTGGATATAGAGAATGAGGTGTGCAGAATAAAGACATTTATTTATGAAATTTGAATTTTGTGGTCTAATGTGTTTTCAGTATATAATGACAAGATTGATTTATTGATTGGTCGAAAAAAGTGTGTATTTTATATATTTATTAGTGTATTTTTATATGCTTAATTTTATCGCACTTAAATATTTTTTGGCTTATTTATTTATTAGATGGATTATAGTGCTTTGATATTTTTTATGTTTTATTTTCAGGATATTGGAGTATTTTTATGGATGACGAGGTGTTGAATGAAGATTTAAGTAGGCAATACGGGGAGCACCATACTTGACCCAATATAGGCTACCTAATTTGGGCCTAAGATTTAGAGCGTCTCGCGGTTAAATTATAAATAAGAAAAAATTCGGGTAACAGACCGCGTCGTTACCTATGGCTAGTAATTTCATAAGATAGCGAAATTTGATACCAAAGTTGATTAGACGAGTCGGTCGAGGTTGTAGACGGAACCATGAACTAGATTTTCTCTTATTTATTTTATTTTATTTTTATTTTCATTGTTTAGATTTCATTCTTAGATAGATTAGTTATTAATTAAAAATCCCTCCTTTTATTGCTTTCATAATAATTTCAATTAATACAAGAATATCACAATTTGGTTCACACTCCTCTTGGGATCGACCCTTACTCGCCGCCGCTACTAGTTAGTATAGGTTAGTCGAGGAAAAATATAAATTATAATTTTGCCGCGTTGCGACGCGCGGTCATTTATCTTTTGTATATGTGTTGTGTATTTTTTTTTTTTCGTCTGTATATAATAAGTATATCTTCTGTATGTAATCTTGATTGTGTATCTTATATGTATTCAAAAGATGACGTTGTTTGAAATTTATATACCTTATTTTTTCCATTTGTATTGATGCAACCTCCTAATTTGTAGGACATGGATATAATTACCATGTATATTTTCGTTTATAATGTAAATAAAAAAAATTCCAAATGACCTGCGCAAATCAAGGATCTAGTGTTGTACTTCTTTTTTGGTAACTGAAATCTTTGCATATGTACAATTAAATGCCATGAAGATGCAATTAAATTTAGCACCTTGGTAAAACTACAATTGTTCCCAATCATATGGTACAGTCCCGCTTACCTGCTCACGGTGGGCAGTGCCCACTAGTTTGTTTTATATGAAAAACGTATTCTGAGAATACGTTTTTCAATTAAATTTAATTGAAAAACGTATTTTGAAAATACGTTTTTCATATAAAACAAACTAGTGGGCACTGCCCACCGTGGACAGGGGAATATATTTATCATATGGTAAATATAAAAATTCGCCAATTATTTTTCCTCAAATGTTTTTTTTTTTTTGTCTCTCTTCATTGTGTCTATTATATGCGGTTTCTTCTTCTTCTTTTTTTTGTTCTCTCATTTTCTTCTCTCAAAAAAATAATACAAACTGCATAAAAAAATCATAGACCAACCCCAAATAATAAACTCGAAATAATCTTGTCTACTGAGAATCCACTTTCAATAGATTGTCGATGTTTTTTTTTTTTTTGATTTTATACGTTTAATCCCGAAATATGTAGACCGTATACGGAGGTCCGATCACGACATTTGAATATGCCGAGACGGAGAGCGAATACAATTAATTTCGTTAGGTTTGATTTATGTGTCATGCTTGGTTTTACGTGATAAATTTTAGTGTCTACAATCCAGCTGCGAGTTTACATCGGTGTTTAATTGATATGTTTCTCGATTTGTTCGTTTGTCGATATCAAGTTTGTGTTTCCTAGTGGTTCTCACATAGAGTGAGAGGGCGTGTTAGAATATTACATGTGAGTTATCTCATATCGTTTATATATGGACAATTGGCCTAATTTATAAGTTGACATGCGTCATTTTTACGTGCATTTTATAGTGATTTATGTGTCCGTTTTTTCGTAGTTTGATATATAATTTATTATATTTAATTAAATATTAATTATTTATTTATTTATTTAATTTTATTAAGCTACAATGAGGTGTTTTATTTGAGTTTTGACAGGAAATAGGTTCGATATATTTATTGGAGTCAAGAGTAACGAGAATCGATCGATTATGGTGTGTGAGTCATGCATTGAGACAGACTCAATTGCAAGGCCTCTTTGGAGAAAAGGAAATCAACTCTTTTGGACAAAAAAGCAAACATTAAACTCCACTACAAGCAGGGGCGGACGGAAATATGGGCGAGCCTAGGCAATTGCCTAGGCTCAACTTTTGGTGCTAATATAGTTAATATGTACTAATAAAACATTTATATTTAATATGTATAAAAATTATAAATACAAGGTTTTATTTTAAAATTTAAATAATTTGTGTAAAATAATATTATTGTTTTTATTTAAGTTGATATACCTCACCGGCTAGATTCGAGGATATTACATTCTAACATTTTTAGTACTGATGCCATATAATAAGCTTGATAGATAAATTTATATTTTTCAATTATAATTGATAAATATTTAAATTTTTATTGATAGAGATCAGATAGGTATAATTTTTTTAATTTACCTATAAAATATGAATGTCAAATTATATATTGTCAAAATATGACTAATTTAAGTTATGATATATAAAAGATGATAATATATACAAATGTTAGTGAATTTTAAAATATATTTAGAATATAAGTTACCCAAGCGTTTAAATATAAAGTTCTGGATAGAGATCGATATTTGTATGAACTACTTAGAATCCTTAGGAGTTAACATATAGAACTACAAAGCGTTGAAAATTAACAATGACAAACTATACATTTAATTATAAGAAGAT